TTGATTTTTTTTTTTTTTTTTTTTTCCTAGAGGATCTCCTCCAAGATTAAAGCTAGTCCTAAGAGCAACCGAATTGCTGTGACTGACTTTCACGGGACTGTAAAGAGAGGTGAGTAAAAAAGCCCTTAGTATGTAGATCTCTTTCAAGCAGTGGTTAAGTCGATTCATTTCGCAGGGAAAAAGCCAGTCTTCTTGTGCAGTATTTTATACTCTGTCGTATAAATCGGTAACGTAATTCAAGATATTCATGGTAATGAATGCTTGGCTAATCCTTTGGGTGCGCGGAGACCTACAGAGCAGTAGGTTATGCAAATCCTTTCCTACTTTTACAGCTGTAGTTTTCTAACAGATTTTTTTAAAAGATCTAGTCATCTGTGAATGCTAGTTGGTTTTTTTTTCCCTCCCGGCCCCCCCCGCCCCAAAGATGCCAGATTTCTAAACTCGCGTGGAATCATTTGATGGTGATACAGCCCATAAAGCCAGCTTAGAGGATGTGGTTTAAATATTTGTAGCTTCCAAACTTGTTTTTTAACCGAGGCAGTGCAAACCCGCAGCCTTGCCTCTTGAGATACACAAGTGTGTCTCATTTCAAATAGTTTCGGTATCACCAAAGAAGAGGTCTTTACTTGTAACGTGGCCGTGCAAAAGTAATCTAGCTCCATTGAAGGCTCCATGTATTTGTTCAGACCTTAAGCTGTGGGAGAAGTTCATCAGTTTTCTTCTCAAAAAGAAGTTTTTAGATGACTTGGCTCCCATAGAAGAAAGCGCGCTTCATTGCTTAGGATATAATTTTAGACCTGAATTTTTTTCATAATTCTGTTTTTCACAGAAGTCCCTGTAGATCTCGGTTCTCTTGAGTAAGAAATTGTTAGAAAGCAATCTAAAATCAAAGCTGCAAAAAAAGCAGCCAAAGATTTTTGCAGTGTTCAATGCTGCTCCTTTCACTTGTTCCTTTTTTTTTTTTCCCTTTCCTTTTTTCCCCTCCTAAACTAATTAACCCCCTGCGTTGGCTCGCCCTGCTGTGCATGTGTGTAATCTGGGACAGGGACCAACTTTTAAAAAATATTTTAACTTGATAGAAAGTGAAATTTCATATGGTAAATGAAGGGCTTTCATGTTCCTCCTGTGTCTTTTTTTCCCCGTGAAAAGAGTTGAAGCCTTTTTCCTCTTCGCTATCCCAGTGGATTAAAGCACACAGAGAACATGGTTTATAAAGCGCTACAGTTTAGCCATTAAAAAGGAATCTCAATTTAGCGCCCTTAAGTGAAAGTACTCAGCTATTAACAAAGATGTTGTTGGGAACTCGGAGGAAAATGGGATACGTGCGTGCAGGGGGTGGGGGTTTCCACATTCTTAGGTCATTTTTTATTTACTTTTTTTCCCCCACTCAGCCTGGTGGCATATTTCTTTTAAAACACAGTAATTCGGGAAAATTAAATTGGCTAATTTCCATTTCTCGTGCATCACTTTCACAGCGAAGGCTGTTTCCAGGAAAAGTGTGAGAGACGAGTTGGTGGGGTGTGTGTGTGTTTGGGCTTCCCCCCCCCCCCCCCCCGCTCACCGGAGCACCACACAGCCACTCGCTCGCTCACTCCCCCCCCCCCCCCCCCCTCCGGTATGGAAGTGCATCTCAGTCAACAGCCAGCTCCTTTTGCCGAGGCTGGAAATGGTTTTAACAGGCGGTAAAATTTCATCTTGTGGTGTCAAATTGGGGTCAGTTTGGGGTTAGCGCTCTCAGTGTCCGAGCAGGAGCTGTCCAGCTGTGTGGGGATTCATTAAGGGCAAAAGATCCGTTTCAAGAAAAACAATACAAAGACAATCAGAGGGCTAAAGATCCTCTTCAAATCGCATTTTACAAGTGCACCAGAACAAATATGGACGCTGAAACCTATTCCCTTCAAACTCCCAAATCGGCTTCTTAGCCCTTGGAGGGAGTGAGAGAGAAAATCCTCTAAAACTTAAGAAGAGTCTGTTTTCAATCAGCCTTTCCGAAGTGTGGCATCTTAGTCCTTTGCTGGCTTTGAGACATGCCTCTCTCTCGCTCGCTCACTCCCCCCCCCCCCCCCCCCCCCCCCCCCCTCCTTCTCCACAGCCTTGCAAAAGCGGATGGCACAACAGGTAATATTTCAGATTTCAAGAATATATCCCACCGGGGACCG